ATTCAGCTCACAGAGACAAGGTCCTGGGTTTGAATTGTGGTCTGGGCCAAAGGGTAAATAGCCTGAATTTCTAAAGGGCTTTATCAATTCCAAACACCCAGAAGGGTAAAGGTCTTTTTTTGTCTGTTATGACTGTTAGACTAAATAATTAAGTTGTTTCTATGCATGATTGTCCTGTGGGTCACCCCACTACTCCAGATAGGCATCTGCTCCCCTTCTACCCTGCATGGACAAGTCGGCATAGTCAATTGATAGTTAATTATTGTTTCTATTATGCAGAACTTACTTTTTTTGTAACATATTTATATATTTCTTACTTTATGAATGGAGTATTTGAACGAACAGCAGTAGCCAATGTTGTATATTTTTGTTTTCTGAAATCCGAATTATCTATATCATCTTAAATAATGCACCACTTTTATGGTTCAAAACATAATTTTGAATCCCCCCAGGCTGTTTTTAAACTTCACACCCAATCTCTGTTATTGTCTCCCATCCCTCTGATTCCTTCCCAAACAGAGACACCACTGGCCCATTCAGTTCACTTCCGAAAGAAAATAAAGGGCGGCACGGCCACCTCTCCCCAGAGGAGTATTTACTCTTCAACGCCCCTTTGAGTGTCTGATGGGACGGGGCTACATGAATGCTGAAAGGTAAACATGATTGGCGCCGGCTTTTGTGCTTCTCACAGAGAAATGAAAAAGAAAAGTGAGAGGAGCCTCCCTGGGAGTGCTGACACTCGGATGCAGGAAGCGTGTAGCCACTAACCCTCATAGGAAGTGGAAGGTGGCTGGGTTAACTATGTATTGACAAGGTGTATGGCAGGAGTGGGTTCATGATCAGGAAGGACCCGCATGCAGGAATTGGGAGCGTGGGAAGATGGAACGGTGAGGGATAAAAAGTATGCTCAACACCTTGATAAGAGACAAGAGCGAAGGGTCACCATGGAAACATAGTTTGGAAACGTTCCCAAAAGAAGACTTACAATGAGTGACAGATTGTGTCTGAATCACATGCCTGGAGCTGATTTGTCTCCTGTGGGGTAATTTTGCAGTTATTTCTGCCACAAATCGATAGTATGTTCTTTGGGAATATTTCAGTTGATTGATTGATTGATTGATTGATTGATTGATTGATTGATTTCACAGTGGAGAAATTTACTCGTTACATCAGCTCAAATAGTCAAAAGAGAAGAAGAAGGTGCCAAAGAAAGAAAAAGGTGCACAAAAAAGCTGTCATATGTGGACTCTATATACTGTTTATAACAAACAGTATATAGAGTCCACATATGACAGCTTTTTTTTCTTATAGCAGGATCATTATATAGGCTTACTGCAAAGGGTTATTATACGAGTATCTATATATATATATATATATAGTTATTGCACAGGTTATCAAATAGTAATTGCACATTATACATTGCACAAGTTACTGCTGTTGTATTATCGCATTGTAGAGTCTGGTTGCAGCAGAGATAAACATCAAAAGAGACATTTAGCCTCAAGATTAATTAGCAAAACCAGACATCATCAAATCCTTAATGCAACAGCTATTAAAACGTTTCATATATAGTATATAAGGGCATATATTATAAATTAAATTGTTTTTATTCAACAAACTACATATAAGGAAAAGAAACAAAGCGCATTGCAGTGGAGCATCTAGTCAAAAGTTGCTAAAGCATGATAAAGATGTGTTTAAAGTGTCAAACTCTGGCATCCATGTGAATCATAACAGTCAGTCATTATAGGAATTATCATATGATTCTTATAATGATTTGTCCAGTGATATGAAGAAAGTCAGCTGTAGCTTAAAGGGGCTTCAAAAGAGGTTCGTAAGCAGGGATTTGAAAGCACTCTGTGGTAAGCCTGGTCTCCCTGACTGGCTGCATATGACAAGAAAGTAATGAGTCCAAAAACCTATAAATTCTGGCAGCATTCAGAGACAAAGTTTTCTTGACCAGCATTTTTATTTTCACACGCATGGTTTGAGTTATCAGGTATTTTCCAACAATTCCATCACCAGGGTTATTTACTGCATATAAGCAAACGGTGGATTCTCAGTCTAAAACATGAAATTCATGCTTTCTACACATAATAATTCTTGGTTTGAATATTGAGAGTATAAATGTACTGCAGTTAATTTTTTAATTCAGTTCATACACTTCAAAAAATTATTTTAAGGGAAGTTAAAAAAAAACAATTTTTGTAGATCTTCATGGTTGTCTACAAAGAAAACATATGTCTTCTTTTTATTTAATAAGATATTTTAACTCATCTTGACTGATCTACCCATTACCAGGCTTGACAATGGTTTGGTTCAAAAAAAAAAAAAGAAAATAGGATGATTTTTCATTCTTTTAGGAATAGGGCCACTTAGATAACTTCTCAATTTAAGAAATTTATATTCAGAAGTTTTACGTTTTCTGGCCAAGCGAAGTGTATAAATAGAATCACTTTTCTTAGTCTCCTTTTATCATTAAAAATTGACCTTAGATGAGGTGAAGTGAGAAGTGAGGTCTGCTTTGAGTATTTTTAGACCTTCAGTAGTTTGATGCAATCATGGAGTAATTTTGGAAAGCTGGCCTCTCCTGGGAAATCTTCCCTTTTTCCACATTTTTTTATATGCATGTATGATTCTTACTGTTTTTTACTGAAGCAACAAATCTTTAAATATTACATATTTCAAGATCTTTGTATTTTATTTAAATTCTTCTCTTAGGGCATGATTTTTGACATAATTTATGGAAATATATGTCACCGCAGGTTTCAATTAGTTAATTTGATTCAGTTCAGACCAGAACAAAAAGATTGTCATTCACTGTAAGATTTTATGGGTTTCCAATTCTGGTGAAACACTGCTCCCCAGTGGTCATCCTTATGACCTACAACATAATGACTGAATATTAACTACAAAACAATCACAACTGAGATAACAATTGACCTATGTTGATCAAATCTTTTTGTATTACTTTTTAATTCCTATCATAAAATAAAATCTGTAAAAAGGTTTTTAATGTTTGTTTGTCCCCAAGTGTAAATATGATCAAATGTATTCCAAAAAAAGAAAGTTAAAAACAATCCACTGGATTTTGTTTTCAATTTTGAAGACGTTTCGCTTCCCATCCAGGAAGCTTTTTCAATTCAAAATGTCAGGAATAGCGTCGAGTTCGAGACTATTCCTGACATTTTGAATAACTGAGAATCTTCACCAGCATGATCAAATGTATTTCTTTTAGTAAATCTGGGGGCTAAAATCTAAACCAAAATTTTATGTTAGACTTTAAAATTCCCCAATAGAACACAAAAGAAGACCTCAGATTTGTTTTGTAAAAAAATCAAACATGGTTTCTTAGTTCAGTTTGAACCAACTGACTAAATGAAACATCTTCCAGTTGTTAACTATGTTCAACAGTGTGTATCAACTCCATTGCAGAAACCAGCTACTTTTTGAAGTAATTACGACTCCTGACCAAAAACTAAAACATAACCCATAAAACGTTTTCTGAAGGAAAGGCCTGATTTTGATGCAAGTAGAGAATGTGCAGAGAACATAGCAGTAAGGTTTGGAACGAGATGATATGTCTATAATGAACTACAGGAGGCAGCATGGGGTGACGGGATCTGATATAGGCAGCCTGAGGCCCTTTAAAGAGGTGAGTAAGTACAAAGAATACCTCAGACTTATTCTGGTTCTATTTCAATGAAAAGGCAGCTTGAATAGTTGGGGGGATTGAAGTTAGAGTGGTCCAACTTAATCTAAGCCCTCTCTCTTTAGTTATGCTGCTATAGTCTTGTGATGCTGGAGAGCATACTAGACACTTTTTCTTATGATACTTCACTGCTGATTTTTAGCTGTGGCTGACATTAATTCTACTTTCTCTGTGGATGAAAAAAAATTGTCCAAAACTGATCAACCGAATAAGCAATGGCTGCCAATAACTACACAACCTTGTTTTTATTTCCCAAATTTTCACTATTTGCCCACACAATTGTCCAGCTATTTCTCTCTTGGATAAAGTCACCTAAAGCTACTATATACCCTTTAATTTTTCTTTACCAAAGAAAAAAAATCATTCACCTGAACATCAGTGTTTTTGCACATGGAACATCCTCACAGACCGCTTCGTTTTGAAGCGTAGGGCTGCTTAACAGTCAGGTTCTGCTGGAGGCTTCTTCCTGTTAATATGGGAGTCTTTACTATGAACTTCCACTACATACATCCTCATATGAAGGTTTCTGTCAAAGTCATTTGATGCAATGAGTTTGAACTTCCTAGAGAGGAAAACCTTTTGATCATTCCACTACTGCATATGTGCTGATGGTAAAGTCGCTTGAGGCATTTGTTTAAAAAAACAGATCAATAAATATGCTTAAATGATTCAAATCAAATTGACATTTTAATTTTGGGTTCTTTTTCTTGTCAAAAGTATAATAACTATAAGTGAGAAAATTAATTACATTTATATTTCGGTGGACACAGATGTATTTTTTTACCATTATGTTTTTGTGCTGCGTTTAACAATGCATTTACATTTCATTCCATAGTTCACTAAAACAATTTCACACACACATCATCCTCAGATTTTTGTTTTTTGGTTAGGGTGAAGCAGCCTGGCCTTAGACACATGTCAAAAAGGAGGCTGTTGGTACAAAAATAAATAAGACATACTTCAGACAAACATGGTTGCTTCTTTCTCACAGTTTGCTACAGACTCTTAAGGCGGATCAACGTTGCATTATAGCTGTGAACCTGAACTCCTCCATGTGTCCTTCCACATTTCCAAACACAAATAAGTTGTACATGTCATATTTACATTTGCAGATGACAAAAAAATATCATTTGGAAAAGGACAAAAGATGGCAGCTGTGGTCATGTCTCTAGTGTCAGTCCATAGGTGTTGATAAATATGCGTTTTGGATTTCTTGTATCTTCCTGGACCAGTCTCTATTGGTCTTCCAGTCAGTGTTCCCATTTCCTAGCTGACTGCGCTGGATAGTTGAAGATGGTGGTGCCTGAAATCAGGCTGTTCGGGTGTTTCTCAGTCTGAGGGAGTCTCGTCACTCTTGGTTTCTACAGAGAGCTCCTGCATGGAATCTGCAGCCTCCTGAACGCTACTTTCCTCTGAAAAAACAAAAACAAAACAAAAACAAGAGTCAGTCAGTGCAGGATACAGTCAGCCAACAACATGCTGCCTCATATTTTAATAGATTGGTTAGAAAATAAAACCCTACAAATCCAATCTGACCTCAAAAGAACAAGAACAAAGCAGAATTTACACAGAAATTCAACAATTTGAAAAGACCTGAGCCTCATTGCTGCTTCGGTAGGGCTTAGCAGAAGAAGAAGCAGCTAGTTTCTACTTATTAACTGCTGTATTGAGTGATGACCTGTATTAAGGTTAAAACAGCTTGCTGACCAGGAACATTAAGGTATGTGTAACACAAGATCAAATAGAACAACAACACATTTCAAGGGAGGCAACGGTTGCTGCACATCTATCTGCTCAAGGCCATATTTGAACTATTATAAATATTATGTCTATTGATCTGCAAAAGGGAGCAATTAACACTTAGAGGATAAAACCCAGCAGCTGATCTTCTCTAGAGGGCATCAAAGTGAATTTGTCAAAGAAAGGAACATTTAAAGGGAAATTGCAAATAAGAAACTGGAGCTTAACCTCTAGACTCCACACCCCCAATCAGCCTTGCTTAGGGGCCCTAAGCAAAACTCAGTTTTGGGGCCCTCTATGGGTTCTATGCACAACTTCACTACTTTCTGAACTTAAGGCGGTTCTTTTATTTCCTGTCTTTTTCTATTGATGAACTGATTCATCCAGGTGTGTCTGGCCATGTTTACTGAGGTTAGGCACAACTGGAGGAATCAGAGAGGAAACAAAGAGCTGCCTTAAGTTCAGGAAATATTGGAGTTGTGCATATAGCCAAATTTCTGTCAATAATATCCATTGTTGCAATTACCTGTGTCAAAGTATCTCTATTAGTCTCCCTAAGATGAAATTCTTCTTGGACATAAACCATGTTATTCACTCACCTGAGTGAAGTTGCCCCCCCCCCACCCTCTTCAAATCAGACAAAATTAGTGTCAAACGTTTGTGCTACATTTGTGCAGCAAAAATTGTCGTTTGTGCTGCTTTGGCTTTGAAGATATTAATGAAAATGTAAAGGTCAAAAGGTCAACCAGCCCCCCCACATTCTTCAAATTAGACAAAATTGGTGTCAAACGTTTGTGCAGCAAAAATTTTCGTTTGTGCCGCTATCATTACTTTACAGTGTAAAATTATATAATCATAGGTTAGCAACTTATTATTTATATGAAATTCAGAGTTTCAGAATGAGCAAATGTTCACTGACCTTTGATTACTTCTACAAACAATTATTAATACCATTAAAATGATAGCAGTACAAAAATGTATATATTTTAAAATATGCAGTTTTTAATTTTTTATACATTTATTTTAAATATTTTACATTTAAAATTAACTTTAAAATTTAATATTTTGTATGGCAAAAATTTTCATTTGTACTGTTATCATTTTAATGAGAATAATAAATTTGTAGAGGTCATCAAAGGTCAGTTAACATCCATTTTTGCTGCACAAACATTTGACATTAATTTTGTCTGATTTGAAAAAGGTGGGGGGGGGCAACTTCACTCAGGTTATTCACCTCACTACTACAACCTAATCCCAACTCCTGCAGGGCTGTTTAGTCTGATATTTGTATGCATCATTTAGCGTTACTAAAAGTAATAAAATCAACTAGTGTGCAGATTATTTAGAGTAAAAGTGTCATGTGGTTTAAACTGTTTGGTTCCAACCACAATGGGATTTTAGAAAAATAACATGTAGTGCAGGAACAACAAAAAAATTAATTTAGGATAAATGGCAGGCAAAAGTCAAATAACTAATAATAAAAAAGTGCTTATCTTTGTTCTTTAAGCAAAAGTTTGTTTTAGAGAAGTTTCCACGGGTCCTTCCTCATCTGTGTGCCAATCTGGTGCCAAGAACCATAATTTTTTAACAATATAGTAATAGTAGTGTATTATTAGTAATCATTTCTACATGGTTAAAAATATATTGATGTAAAATGCATAATCTTATCATATCATTGTGTGTTTCATTACTATATTGAACAATATTTAGGCAGCAGAGACCAAAGTAAAGACTTGTGGGACAAAAGAACAAAGGCACAATGTTGGAAGGCTGATGTTTAGGTTTGACTTGCAGGCAAATGATCAGAGCACTTGCATTCCTTTATTTAACAACCATCTATGTGTCCCGAGGTATATAAACATTAAAATGTCAGGATATTCTCAAAATGTATTCTAGGTTGCAGTTGGGTCGTCATCAGAATAGCAGGAACTGAAATACAACAGAAGAACTAAGAAACAGACTAAGAAAAAGTCGAGACCTCACATTAATATGCTGTGGTGGATGCGAAAGACGGCTGACCAGAAAACTGAAGCAACAATTTAAAGACAGTTAAACCAAATGTTGGGTGATGGGGGGTAGGCAGTTTGGCTTCATCTTTCTTAAACACAGCAGCAGACTGGAATCTGCTCTGCGCATCTGGACACTGAAGTATAGATGTAAATAATAAGGGTTGGAAGATCAGATGGGTTTTATTAAATCTCTAGATCTGATTTAGTTTTACAAACCAAAATACACAACCTATAAACTATATGAACACATGATAAAGTTTAAATGTTTTTTGTTTTGGTTTTCTGGTTGCTGGATGAATCACCTTTACTCTGCTGCATCCTCAGTCTGGCCGCTTCAACCTCCTGCTTTTCTCGCTCCTCTTGGAGCTTCTTACAAACCTTCTTGTGGGTGAACCAATGCATTTTCTGGCACGCTTGGCCACAGTAGATAACCTGGATAATGGAAAAAAGAGCCAAGCGTCTGTATACAATAACCAAATGTCAAGATAAGCTAAAAAAGCTAAGATATCATGTCCGAGTTTAGCTCCTAATTGTTCAGAATGACAGCAAATGACGGCCCAGAAATAAATACTTAATTTAAATGTCGTCACAATTTATTCCAGTAGTTTTGACACTCACCATTTTACAGATGGAGCATCTTTTCTCGGCTCCCTTTTCCCCACAGGTGGTACAGAACTCTGCATCCATGAAGCCAACCTGACCCGTTATAGCCTGAGTCAGCACTGACAGAGCTGTGGGGTCGTTTCCCTGACGTATCATCGAGAACAAGAAAACCGATCAGACCTGCTAAAGTTCAGTTGTCTGTTTTCCAAGTCACTGAGTTTAGTTTTTAGTTTAATCTACAAAATGCTCCTCTTCACTTCCAAATCCTGTGATTTGTGAGGGAGGGAAATGTTTGGAATGAATGCCTTCAATGTAAAACTTACAATGTCCACCGGAGCGATACTCCGCACTAGCTGCTGCAGCAGCGTGGCGTCGCAGTACGGGAACTTGCGTATACACTCGCGGATGAACTTTTCCTGAAAGACTGGGAAACCGTCGCTGTCCCGACCTTTCAGCAAACTGGAAAACACAAAAAAACAGAAATACGAAAAACGAGCTGAATAACAGGACAAGATTCAGAGTTAAAATAATCTTTGGGGAAGAAAACAAGCCTGAGATCCAGTTTCTAGGAACCACCATTTCTCTGAACCCAGCAATGCCCGCACACATCCACCCTGCTTTACACAAGCAAGTATTCCAACCTCTTTATGAGGCCGTCCAGCTTATCCTCACGGTCTTTCAGGAAGGAGGCACACTTCCCCAGCACGCAGCTGATGTAGTGCATCTTCATCGCCAGAACCTCGTTCATGTCCTGCTGCTTGATGCACTTCTCACAGATGAGCTCCATCACTCTTCTGCTTTTGTCCAGAGCCTCCACCTCTGCGAGCAACGGGTTTTCCTTCACCAGCATCACCAACTGGAACAAAAAAACCAACAACAAATTCCAGTTGTTGATTTACTTTTACACAGTTTAGACAGGAACAGTACTAATAAAATGCAGAGAATAAAGGGCAATAACTGATCCCTCATCTTCAGTTTAATCTTTTTTGTTTGGACTGTTTTAATTTAAACAATTAAACAGGTACACAGGGGAAGAAAATCAGATCAACAAACTTTTTAAGTACCGTAATTTTCGGATTATAAGCCGTACCTGAATATAAGCCGCAGAAGCTAAATTGCATGATTTGTACATATACAAGCCGCACCAGACTATAAGCCGCAGGTTTTTTATGTTTAATTACCATATGGTTTGTGCACAGAGAGGATTGACAGGAAAGAGGCAACTGTTTGGGGAAGCTCCTATTTATTAACATTTCAACACAATTGAATTGAGACAAGATTACGTGCAGCGGTTCTATTTCCTTTGTTT